AGAACCAACTTTTGGTTTTGTTGATTCTTTCTATTGTTTTTCTATTCTCTATTTCATTTATTTCTGCTCTGATCTTTATTATTTCCTTTCTTCTGGTGGCTGTGGGCTTCTTTTGCTTTTCTCTATTTGTTTGAATTGTAGGTCTAACATTTTGATTTTTTCCCTTCCTTCTTCCTTGATGTATGTGTCTATTGCTATAAATTGACCTCTGAGCACTGCCTTTGCTGTGTCCCAAAGGTTTTGGTATGATGTACTTTCATTCTCATTTGATTCTAGAAATTTTTTGAATCCATCTTTGATTTCTTCTATTACCCAGTGGTTTTTAAGCAAGGTGTTATTCAGTTTCCATGTTTTTAGTTTTTTTCCTTGCTCTTCTTGTTATTAAATTAATTTCTACTTTTATGGCATTGTGATCAGAGGAGATGCTTTGCATTATCTCAGTGTTTTGGATTTTGTTGAAGATTCTTTGTGGCCTAAGATGTGGTCTGTTTTGGAGAACATTCCATGTGTGTTGGAAAACAATGTATACTTTGCTGTTGTTGGGTGGAGTGTTCAATATATGTCTGTGAGATCAAGATGGTTGATTGTGGACTTTAGATCTTCTGTATATTTGCTCAGTTTCTTTTTATATGTTCTGTCCTTTACTGAGTGGTGTGTTGAAGTCTGCTACTATTACTGTGGAACCGTCAATTTCTCTTTTCAGTGCTGTTAGTTTGTTTTATGTATTTTGGAGCCTCGTTGTTGGGTGAATAGATATTTATTATGGTTATATCATCCTGGTGGATTGTCCCTTTTATCATTATATAATGTTCTTCTTTGTCTTTTATAGTGGACTTTGGCTTAAAGTCTATTTTGTCTGAGATTAATATTGCTACTCTTGCTCTTTTTTGGTTCCTGTTTGCTTGCTATATTTTTTTCCATCCTTTGATTTTTAATATATTCATGTCTGTGTCTAAGCCATATGTCTTGTAGACAACATATTGGTGTTTTTTATCCATTCTGTCACTCTCTGTCTCCTTATGGGTGCATTTAATCCATTTATTTTCAGTGTGATTATTGATAGGTATGAGTTTATTGCTGTTATTTTGTAGTGCTTTTTTTGTGGTGCTGATGTTCTCTTTCTTCTTCTTACTCTCCTGTGCTGAATTTCTTTTGTTTGTGGATTTTCTTTTCATTTCATTTGTTTTTGTAGATTTGTGTTTACTGAGACTTTATGTTTTTCTTCTTTATTTTGATGAGTAGGTTTGTTAACTTTCTTTGTGGTTACCTTGAAATTTACCCCTATCTTCCTAAGTTTGACCCAGTCTTTCATTATTTGATATTGCCTTGACTTCCTCTCCCTTTGAAAGTTCTATACCTACACTGTTTATTCCCTCTTTTATTGTTCTGACGTTGTTGTCATTTACAGATTGATGTCTCTGGTTCCCTGTTGTAAATCTTTTAGCTTTCTTTTATCCTTGAGAGTTCATTACCTAGGTTGGTATCTGGCTGATGCAATCCTGTGTCCTGCATTCAGGTTGTTGTCTGATGTTGTTTTTTCTCTAACTGAAGGACTCCCTTTAATAACTCTTGTAAGTTTGGTTTGGTTTTTACATAGTCTCTTAATTTCTGTTTATGTGAATATGTTCTAACTTCGCCATCGTATTTTAGCAAGAGTTTTGCAGGATCTATTATTCTTGGTTGGCAATTTTTTTTTCTTTCAAGGTTTTACGTACGCCTTCTTGCCTGCATGGTTTCTGCTGAGTAATCAGAGCTTAGTCTTATTATTTCTCCTTTGTATGTGACTTTTTGCTTTTCTTGAGCTGCTCTCAGGATTCTTTCTTTGTCTTTGGTTTTGGCAAATGTGATTATGATATTGTCTTTGTGACTTACTATATGGGGTTCATTGAGCTTCTTGGATGGTCAGCTTTTCATCTTTCGTGATATTAGGGAAGTTTTCTGTCAGCAAATCTTCAATGATCCACTCTGTGTTTTCCATTTTCTCCCCCTCTTCTAGAACTCTGATCACTCACAAATTTTTGCTCTTGATTGTATCCCACGTAGTTCTCAGGTTTTCTTCATTCTTTTCCCTAATTTTTCCTCAAATAAAGTGGCATTAATGGATTTGTCTTCAATTTCACTGATTTTGTCTTCCATAGTTCCAAATTTGCTATTAAAACCTTCTATCGTGTTGTCCATTTCTGAAATTTTGTTGTTTGTCTTTTGAATTTCTAATTGCTGTTTTTGTGTGATTTCTAATTGTTTATTTATTTTGACATTTTGTTCTTGTATTATTTTCCTGAATTGTTCTATTGTTTTTTGTTTTCCTTGAGTTCGACTACGTTTTGGTTGGTTTTGTCTGTGTTTTCCATGATTTTGTCTGTGTTTTCCTTGATCTCTTTCCTAATCTCTTGGAAGGCCCTTAATATTAGACTTTATTAGTTCCAGTGCCTTTTCTTCTGCCAGGAAGTTGTCTGGTGCTTTATTTTGGTCACTTACTGGAGCCATTTTTTCCTGTTTGATATGTTTTGATATTGTCTGCTGTCTCCAAGACATTCAGGTATTATTTTCTTTATTTATTGATTGTAGGTTTGTTTGTTTTCTCTTGCTTTTTTTGTTTTGTTTGGTTATGTCTGGGTGGGCGGGCTGGACATGCTTTGTTGCTTGCTCATCTGTTGCTTGAACCAGCAACTAGAAATCCAAAAGATAAACAATGAAATTTCAGATAGATCTCACCACCTTCTCTGGATGTGCAGGGCCAGTTACTCAGCTACAGTGCAACAGGGCAGGCCCAGAACATGGGCAAGGGGTGGAGATGGGTCGTTCATCTCTGGTGTGAACCAGGCTGGGGCCTGGGGCTGGACTAGGGCCTGAGTTGGGGCAGACTGGTTCCCCTTGGGATGATGGAGCACAGCAAGGCAGGACCCAAGTTGGCAGGGAGGAGTCTGGGGATCTGGGCCAGTTCCACTTGGGGCTCAGGAGTGCGGCTAGGCAGGGACTGGGCTAGTGGGGCAGGGTCTGGGGGTCTGGGCTAGTTCCCCACTGGGCCATGGAGCAAGGTAACATGGGGGCTGAGCTGACCAGGAGTGGTCTAGGGGTCAAAGTTGGTTCCCCTCAGGGCTGCAGAGCATGGCAACATGGAGGCTGAGTCAACCGGGAGGGGTCTGGGGTCCAGCTAGCAGGGCTGAGGAGAGAGGCAGGAGGTGAAAAGAAGTCAGGGGCAGAGAGGGCTAGATGGAGAAGTACAATAGGGTGAGTTAGTACTGTGGTTCTGCTGGGATGGGGCGGTTCTTGCCACTATTCTCCAGAGGGGTGGAGGTTGTAGGAGAATGCTCCTGTGGTTACTGGGTGAGAGAGTCTGGGCTCCCCCTTGAGTTGCAGCCAGCATACATGGTCTTACTTAGCCCTGGGTGTGTCTGTGACATACCTCTATCTCCTATTGAGAATTCTATGGAGGTGCCTTTCTCTGTGCTGCATTGTTGGCTTTATTCTAAGATGGCCACACTGAGTCATGTCATTTGACCAGGAACCTCCACTCTGTATCTCTACTACTTTGTTTTTTTCTACCAGTTTCTTCTTCTCAGTGGCTTCTGATCTAATACTCTAGCCCTTCATTTAAGGTTCAGGGCCCTAGGATTGACGTCCGTATCTGTTTTACTTGTTTTTTCGAGTCTTTGTTGCAGCAGGATGGCTTAGTGTGTCTGACTAGTCTGCTATCTTGACTCAGTCTCCCTCCCTTCATGTTTTGAAAAGGACGAGACTAAGCCTCAGAAAATAAAGAAACTTGAACCACAACTAGTAAATATGGGCACTGGAACGCAGGCCTTAGATCCAAATTCTGAGTTTATTCAACAACCCCCCAGGGTTCTTTGAACAGGACACAACCCCCACAGGGAGGTAGGGGACAGCGATGAGTTGCAGTGACAGGTCTTTCTCATGAATAAGGACCTCCGAGGGACTCTCAGTACTTCTTCTTTGTGCAAGAGCCCATGGAAGGCAACAATGTCATCGTGTCCTTTACCATCATGCCTCAAAATCTGATGTCGACAGATAAGGAAATGCCACTAAACTTCCAGGTATTCAAGGTAAATGTAGTCTGCTTCAGGGCTTGCCCTTTGGGGATATTTGTGTATAACGTAGGCTGGTGGGGGTACACACTCTCAGTCACACAGGGCTTTGACTCTTGAGGGAGTAACTAGAAGATGTAGGAACAGCTGAGGAATTACTTACATTAAATATCTGAGCCCAGCGGCAGCAATACAGGGCAGTTGCCCTGTTGGTGTCCACCTGGTTGCCATTTTGCCTGGTTCCGCCCACCTTCCAAGTCACCTTCTCTAGACTTACCTCAACTCTGTGAGCTATCCTTCCAATAACTGCCTTTCTGCTCACCCCAGCTTAGACTGGTTTCCCTTGCTGTAACCCAAGAATCCTGACTGATCTAGGTGGCTTCTAAAAGAAGCCTCATCCTAGGAGTCTCCCAATTCTCTCCCTAAGAAGAACAAGCGCCCCAAATGAGGAAGCCTGGAGCCAGAGAAAAGGCTTTGGGAAGGGCTGAGAAGTAATTGAGGCACCTGATCTGGCCAACCAGAATGGAACAGGCACCAGACAGGATTGATGAGAAGTCTCAGCCACCTCTTCCTTTTCCCAGTGAGAGACAGAAGCTCACGGAGGATTCCTGGGCTGCCCCATTGCAACATTCCCAGGGGAGCCGTTCACCTGGTCTCTCTGAGACCTGTGCCCCAGACCTGGGCAGCACAGCAGTCTTATGTTAATTGATTTTCCCAAAACCTTTACAGGTCAGGGGCCTTAGCAAGATTGTAACTGTATCCTTGTTTTAAATACTGTCAAGCCCATTTCTCTACTTTTCAGCCAGTGATGCATTCTTTCTCAGCTGCCCACTCTGCCAAAGGGGCACTCAGAACTGAGATCTCCTCAGGCTCCCTGTAGTGCCCAGCAGATCTTGCAAGATCCAGATTGAGTTAAACACCAAAGACAGTCTAGACCTTGAAAACTCAAGAGACATTAAAAAAAAAAACCAAAAAACCTGCTACATCAAGTCGATTCCGACTCATAGCAACCCTATAGGACAAAGTAGAACTGCCCCACAGGGTTTCCAGAGAGCGCCTGGTGGATTCAAACTGCTGACGTTTCGGTTAGCAGCTGTAGCTCTTAACCACTACACCACCAGGGTTTCCCAGGAGACATTAGGGTTCCTTTCACTGGTTGGCTGAGAAACAGGCGATATATGTTCCAACTGCCAGGCTCTCAGAAGTTGCCAGGCCTCTAGTGGTGTTTGTGGATATAGAGCTGGCCCAGTGCCCTGGCCCTGGAGTGAGCCCCAGGGTCCCCAGTGGCTGTTGGAAGACTGCATCACACCTTACATCAAACCAAACACAGGTGTTGTGTTAATAGGCAGGAGTGACAGTGGACAAGAGTGGGCAACTATTTCATCCTCAACCCAAAGCCCTTACCCCAAAGGTCCCCACCTCCCTGCCAGCTCACCTCTGGACTCCAGAGAAGTCTCCCTGGGTGAATCATCTGGTAGGTGAATACACCTGGTAGGGTCCAGGAGCAGCAGTGGAAAAGAAGACAAAACCCACATCAACTGTGGAAGACAGAGCATGGTGGTAACAACAACAACAAAAAACCCCATTGCCACCAAGTCTATTCTGACTTATGGCAACTCCGTGAGCCTGGTGGTAGTGGGGCTTAATTACACAGGAAGCAACACAGCTTGCTCTAGTCCTGCTTCTGCTCCTTGAACTGCTGAGCCTCAGTTTCTGCAGCCATAAAATAGAGAACCTAAAGTCAGCTTGGAAACCCTGGTGGCATAGTGGTTGGAATCCACCAGGCACTCCTTGGAAACCATATGGGGCAGTTCTACTCTGTCCTATAGGGTTGTTATGAGTCAGAATTGATTCGACGGCAAAAAGGTAAAGTCAGCTTGCAGGATCATTGTGAGGAGCCAACATATTACATGGAAGTGCTTTGCAAACTGTGAAGTGGCTTAAAAACGGGGCTGCATCCTTGGCACTTACCCTGGAAGTGGAAACATAGATGTTTCATACTCACATACACCTGCATTCCCTACCAATGCAGGGGTCCTAACGCTCATCATATTTTCTAGTGGTCTGATGGGATAAAAGAGGTTTACTTCTCATTGGAGTCCTCGATGTTGGGGAATTTACATTTGATCCCAGTTCTGTCTTAGCTTCAGCCCTTGTCAATATCTTGCTTTTCCCTTCCACTTTTATCACCATACCTGTGAGCAGTAATGTCGCCTTGCTGAGCTGACAAAGGCAGGGTCTCCTCCTCTTAGACACCTTCTTCCTCTCTTCCATTTCCTTCCCCTTGTTTCCTCCATGACCGGTAAAGTTTCCTATCTTACAGCTCTGTATAGGGAATGAATCATCTACCCACTCACCCCAAGGTGTGCAGGGAGCAGGCTAGGTGCATGAATAGGAAGAGGGAATGGGGCCCTGAGCCAGGCTGCTCTGATTTGCTCGCCATCTTGTTTGGGTTTGGGTTACTGAGCCTCCCTTTCCTCCTTTTCCCCACAGGTTGATTCCCAGGTATGGTTTACTGTCACCCTGAGCTCTCTGCTGGTCTTCTCACACCTTTGTTGCTGTCTGTTGGTAAAGTGTTATACCTCTTCCAACATCTGTGACCTTCACATGTCTCTTGCTATTCAATGGCTGCAAATTCAGCCTTGCTATGAGTTGTTAGAGAGACAAACTTGGAATCTCCAAACAGGTCAACAATGTGGGGAAATACTTTAGCTGTCCTGGTCTAAAGATTGGACCTCTTGGGCTGTTCTCTGGTATGACATTCAAGAGAGGTTGCAACTGCAAAACTACCCTCAAGTCTTTTGGGCCCTGATAGAGATACAGAGTTGATGCAGTCAGTGTCTTAGTCAGGGTTCTCTAGAGAAACAGAACAAGTGATTGAGGTAGACAGATAGATAGAGATAGACAGACAGACACAGACAGACATACAAACAGATAGATAGATATTTACTTCAACGAAGTGGCCACACAATTGTGGGGGCTGGCAAGTCCAAAATATGTAGGTCAGGTGACAGACTGGAGACTCCTACAGGCTCGTATCCCAGGATCTGTAGGTCAGGCAATGAGAAGAGTGCAGAGTGAAGAGAGAGAGAGAGAGTTTGCCAAAATATCTATTTATAGTCTGGTGACAGAACACACCCTAAGGAAGCTCTCTTTTCAACTGATTGATTAATTATATTACATTAGATTACATTATGGAGCAACAACTAGACTACTGTTTGGCCAAACCTCTGGGAACCATGGCCTAGGCTAGTTTACACGTAAAATTAATCATCACAGTCAGTTATTTTTTATTTAAGATGAAAGATAGTGGCAAGGCTGAGGGGTTGCCTGAGGGGACACTTTAGCCTCTCATATTCTTCGTCAGCCCCAAATCCACCATACACATGGTGCAAGCTATGCAAATTCAGCTTCAAGACATCCTCTAGCAACTCTTACCGTCAAACCACCACCCCTCCTACACAGATACTCTGGGACACCCTTGGTGAGAGGCAACCTAAGAATATGAATAAAGTTGGAGAAGGACAGATGGAGCTCAGAAGACTTAACCTCACAGGCACTCAGACCTCTTAAATGGATGTCAGATCTGTGGTCCCACTGCTGCTGAGGGGGAGGCATATCTTCCAAGGGGCTGTGGAAAGAAGAGAGGGAGCAGGATGTGGCCACAGCAAAGAGGTGGTGTTTGTGGCAAGCTGGCAGCATTGAGGAAGTTCTTCCAGGCCTTCCAGGGGTGCTCTGACAGGTGGACAGACCCAGGACAGGAATTCTCAGCATGGGGGTTTGCTCAGAAACGCAGGCAGAAAGCCAAGAGCAAAGCAACCACAGAGCTGGGATTTAGGATCTGACTCTGGTCCCTGGCATCCCAGCCACGGAGAAGTGGAACACCTGGGAGGGTTTCAAGGGAGCACTCAGGCCAGGGAATAGATCAACATTCTAGTTCCCAAAGCTGGGGAACAGGATGGTGACTCAGTCTCAGGAAAGCCCCATCCCTACAACTAGGGTCAACTCTGCAGGACTATCCCTGTGTTCATTTGATGCTGGGTCCTCTGAGCCCTGGACCAAGACCTCCTCTCACTCCCTCTACATTCACACTTCTAGCCACCACTGAGTGAGTCTTTTCTGAAGAATTAGGGGGCTAGGCAGGCTGCAAGGGTCCAATGGAGGGAGGAGGTCAGGAGAGCCAGAAAGCAGAGAAATCCTCAGTTTTTGCACCTCTGAACACATACTGCCCTCCTCATGCACATGCACACGCACACGCATGCCCAGAACCACAGGACAGTGCTGACCCCTTGGAAAAGAACTCTTCTTACAATTGCTTTACCAGAAGGACTCAAGTCAATCAGGCTCCCAACCCACTGGGGCATTAATGTCAGCAGAGGTGGTTCCACAGAGCCCCCTACTGCACACCTGGCCCGGTGGCCTAGCCCTGTCTCACCTTGTAGCCCAGTCCTGTCCCCCCTGCCTGAAAAGTAACTCTCCCCTCTTCCCTGTTTTTTCACCAAGGCAGACCTCATAAATAATCATTTTCCCCATGCTCGATTGTATTGGGGAAAATTTGTTTAGTAAGGAGTTTTTATTACATAATATCTATGTGACATCCTTGGAACCCTGGTGGTGCAGTGGTTAAGTATTCCGCTGCTAATCAAAAGGTCAGCTGTTCAAATCCACCAGCCACTCTTTGGAAACCCTATGGGGCAGTTCTACTCGGACCTACAGGGTAGCTATGAGTCAGAATCATCTCAACGGCAACAAGTTTGGGTTTGGTTTATGTGACATCTGGTAATAGGAACTGCATTATATTTATTGTTCTAATAAAATATTGAAATAAAAGGAAAATGGCTGGGGCCTGTTATTCTCCAATGAGAAGGATTTCAGGGCTCTGCTGGAAAGATGAAACGGAGGAAGGAAAAGGAGAATGACTCTGCGATGGTCTAGCCTCCAAAGGGTGTTTGCAAAAGGTTCAGGAGAGAAGGAGCCCTAGGGACCCCAAAGGATTCAGTGTTGACAACGTCACTAGTTTTCAAGGACATCTTCCTTATATAAACAGAGAGATAAAACCCTAAAATCAGAAATCCAGCATGCTGTTAGACTTACTGAGATAAAAACGTGTCATATTTCTTTGCATTCATTGTAGTCTCTAGAGTCTAGACTAACAGTCCAAACTCTACCACTTTTTAAGAGTTCAGGGGCTGTAATGCTATTTCAGGGGCTTCCCTGGGTGGTGCAAATGGTTAACACTCTTGGCTGCTAACGAAAAGGTTGGAGGTTCAAGTCCACCCAGAGGTGCCTCAGGAGAAAGGGCTAGCAATCTGTTTCCAAAAGGTCACAGCCATTGAGAACCCTATGGAGCACAGTTCTACTCTGACACCCATGGGGTCACCATGAGTCAGAATCAGCTCGACGACAACTGGTTGATGCTGTTTTGGTAAGCAGGGAGCGGTCTGGAAGGTGGGGGGTCCCTCCTAGTGGCCGGTGCCATGCATGTGGGGTGCTTTCTCACAGAGCCTGTTTCCTCCAATTCCAGCAGTTCCGGGAGAGATTGCCACCCACGTTTTTTTCCCAGTTCAGATATGCTGCCCAGGGCACACATTTAAAAACCAAGTACAACTTCACACAGTGCTTCCGTCTGAGCCCTGGGACCTATGTTGTGGTTCCCTCGATGCGCAGAGAAGCTCAGTTCTTGCTCCGAATCTTCCTGAAATTGCCAGACATTGACAGGTACAGAATCTCTGGGATTCTAAATGTTTTATTCCTTTTCATTTGTTTTTTTAACTGCATTGCATCATTTACATACAGTGCACTGTGCTGACCTTAGTGGGGGCCCTGCTTTGAAGAAGCTCTCCATAAAGGGAGCAAGAAAGTCTATGGAGCAACAATACACCACAGATAGAATGGGGCCTCTGCTAGATGGCATGCACAGTCTCATGGCAGTGCAAAGTGAAGGGACACACTTTTGGCTGAAGGGACTGAGGAAATGGCATTTGAGCTAGCCCTTGAAGGAAGAATATAATTTGGATCTGTAGGAATGGGGGGGTGTGTGGAAAGGTATTGCTAGTGGAGGGAAAAACATGCACAGAAGCAGGAAAATGGGTGTGCACAGGGCTTGTTAAGGAATAAGTGATGTTGGCCATACATACAAGAAGGTGGTATATGGCAGGCATGGCAAATTATCTGAAATGTAGCCAGAACATGGGGCATGCCAGAGGGGCAGTGAAAGATGGGCCTGAAGGCTGGAGCTCCATCATGGAAGGTCTCGAGTTGATCAAGACTGGGATCAACAGGTACAAGACTGGGATCAAAAAGAGGCTCCTCCTGGGAGCCTCTTCCCCTCTTGGGCCCAAGGCAGCCATCGCTATAATCATAGTGGGCTTCACAGTGGAGCACAGGTGAGACATTCTCAGTACCACGTGCCAGGCAGCCTCCATGCTACCAGTTAGAGTTGGAACATAGGCAAAGTTTATTTGCCACCCTAGCAATGGGAGTCATTGTATGTATATTTGGTAAAGAAAGAAACTATTTACTAAATGGTTTCAAGACTAGATCATGTCCACCCAAAAGGCTGGGCAAATTCCCTGGTGTGTGTCTGTCTGCTGGCTGACACGGCTGCCCACCTCACATCTTGCAGTGTCCAGGGCTCTCCAGGCAGGTCCTTGGGATAAATGTCCAATGCTGCCTCTGGCATCCTTCATGTGCAGGCCTCCTCTGAATGGTGGGCTGATCATCCTTGTCACACTTTCCCTAATTTTCCAGGAACCTGGACAACAGTTTCAACCTCAGAGGACTGGAGGTATGTGTGTAGCCAGGCTCAGTTAGTAAGCTTCATTGGCCACATCTCATCTCCAAGAGCTTTCATCTCCTTCCTTCTTGCCTCACCACTGACCACTGAAAACAGAGAATGCATAATGGAGAGACTAGGTGGGGGGAAGGGGGAGACAAGGCCTCCAAGGCCAGGCTGGACCTAGCCATCTTCCTCTCATGAACTTCAGTTTTCCCAGTCCCCTAAAGATTTTATCTGAGTGCCAGATGAAACCTCTCCCTCAGAATCAGGCGTGGGTTCTTGTGCCCTTGCTGGACCAGGCAAGTGGCTCCTTCCCAGTTTAATGTTGGCTGTTTTCCCTTTGATCTAGGCCAGTCTTCCAGAAAGTGGCTTCCAACAAAGCATTTTCCAGAGATACGCTCAGCAGGTACAGTACCTAACATGGACAGGCCCGACAAAGGGCAGGTGATGGAGAGACCCAAGGGCGGGAAACCTCTCCCAGGCCCTGATCAGGACTTTTTTTAAAATGAAATAAAAATAACCTGTTACCATCGAGTTGATTCCACTCATAAAAGCTTGATGGCCCCATGTGTTACAGAGTAGAACTGCCCCATGTGTTTTTCTCGGCTGTGATCTTTATGGATACAGATTGCCAGGACTTTCTTCCACAGTGCTGCTGTGTAGGTTCAAACCACAAAACTTTTGGTTAGCAGCACAGTGTAAACCATTTGTGCCACTCAGAATACAGACAGGAAAAGTGACCTGATGTATCCATTTTATCAGCCTTTCTCCCTGGACCATCACCAGAACAGACCTGGCTGCCAAATTGCAGAGAAGGGACACTCTGCTTTGGTGACATCTGGGACAGATATAGGGCTTAGAAAGAGAAAGATGGTGGTAGGATATGTGCATGTGCTTTTAAAATCTTTAAACAAGTCATTGGCAGTAACCCTTGTAATTTGTTCTTCTCCTGCTCGGCCACCTCCCCACCAACCTTAGCAGCGTTCCTCCCGGAAGTTGGGCAGCTTCAGAAAGCACAGCAGTGCTCTTCCTGCCAAGCCATGTATGTGTACATACATGCCCATAATGCCCATAATGGTTCAATAAACCGTTACGAAGAACTCCGTGACTTGTCAGAATAAAAGCAGCTGTCAAGAGCTCGGCACGGTGGCCCCTTTACTGTAATAATCACGTTAGATGGGAAGTGGAAAGTGATATGATGCTTGTGTGTACTGTGCCAGCCTTGGGCCAGGCAGAGGCCAAGGACAGAGAGGCTGCCAGTCCCTGCCTCTGCCTCTGAGTTCAGAGGGCTAATGGGGCACTGGTAGCAAGGAGACAGCCCAAATGGAAGAGATTAAGGCAGTTTGAGCCCAGGGAAACCAACGATGAGAAGTGAAGAATGTAGCTAGAAGGAGGGGTACATGTTGCAAGCAGCAGCTGAGTATGGACCTCCTTGAAATGACTATCACCTCAGGATTCTGGCCCCCCATCTGGGCCAATTCAGGCACCAATCCACTTGATGCAAGACAAGGCCTTCCAGAATGATTGACCCCAGGGTGTGAGCTCCTGGAGTCAGGGATGACATCATATTCCTTGTCCCCAACACTCATCACTGTCCTTGGCACAGAGGAGGTTCTCGATCAATTTTGTCGAATTGAACTGAGACCAATTAACTCCCCCAGAGCAGATGCCCAACCCAAGCTAAGGTGAGTGCCCCTAGGTGATCAGCAGGGCCTGGTTAGGATGCTTGCGACCGAGATTTCTTCAAGGGCAGCTTGCAAAATGCCCACACCCAGTCCATGCACCTGCACTTCTAAAAGTAAAAACCTAATCTATTATGTGATAAAATGGTGCAGATTCCCTGAGACTTTTCCAAACAATAACCAAGGGCCTTCTCATAGAAGGTGACTGGTAGCCCATATGGAGCCTTCGTAGGAATTTAGGATGAGGCACAGATGCAGCTCTGTGCCAAGGTGCACAGCTGGTAAGTGGAACACAGATTGGATTGCAGCCCATTTTCATCCCTCGGCTGGGCATCCTTGAGCAAGGCCAAGCTGCCATCATTCTGCACAATCTGCAAACCATCTTCAAAGGCTATGTTCTCAAAAGAAAGTTTAAAGCAAAATATCCATCAATGGACACACTGTTGTCTTCTCTCCTGGTCTCTTATATCAGTTTGACTAGCCTTAAACTAATACCATGACTTGCTACTGCTCCTCCTACTACTACCATGATTTACCTTCATTGACAGTAGTAGTGGTGATGGTACTATAATCCAGGGTCTGCTTGTGGGCAAGGAAGGACACACTGAGACTCTGGGACAGGCCAGGTCTGTTCGTCCGTCCATCCATCCATCCATCCATCCATCCATCCATCCATCCATCCATCCATCTATCCATCCATCCATCCATCCATCCTACCTTCCATTCTTCCATCCATCTATTTGTTCAATTGATGAACATTTATGGGCACCTAGAACATTCCAAGTACTGTGCTAAACTTTGGGAGTACAAAATCAGTCCTTGGGGATCTTATGTTATGGTGGGAGTGACAAGCATGCAGTTTTTGGGGGAATTTGTTTAAGTCATCACCATCTGTATTCCTATCCTCCTTTCCTCAAACCCGGTTGGTTGGTTACTGAGTCCAGGTCAGGGTCTGCCCTAGGGTGGGGGATATGGAGAAGGAAGAAGACATGATCCATGCCCCAAAGCGGCTTATAATCTAGGTGGGTGATTCCATGTAAGTTAGAGTTCTTCATCAACATGTAAACTGCTGTTCAAAGTGAGGTATTGTGGCTCTTTTGAGGAGAAAATTCAGTTGGTGCTGTGGCACGCAACACTGACTTTCCTGACATCAAACAACCAGGGAGGGATGATTCCAAGACCAGTTTCACTGGCAGGATTTTTCCCTCAGGGGGCATTGTAAGGGGTCATCCTAGCTGAAGGGCTTCCATGAGGACAGGCTATGGGCTGCTTTTGCTTGCAGTTTTAGGTGATGAGGCCAGCCCTGGCAATGTGGACAGGGATGGGGTGTCATCTATGGAGAACAGGTGCTTGTTCTCAGAAGACCCCAAGGAGGCACCTCTTCCATTTGCCCTGGTGCCACTCTACAAAACTACCTGCTGGGAGACCTCCCTCCAGCTCTCCATGTAAAAGCTTCCCCACGGTAATAATGTCACATCATCACTCAGCTTTTACCAGGGTGGATGTGAGAAATGGCCACATGTAGAACAGCTTTGCTTCTCTGTGAAACCATCACAGAAGTCACTGCCCATAGTCATTCAATACCCCCAGAACAAAATCTAATGCAGTTAACTCCTCCAGAAGTTTTAGGCCAGGAGAAGTTTCCTTCTCCTCCCAACCTCAATTGCTTCCTGATATTAACCTAAGGGAATCCACAATGCTTCCCTCTTTGCTTCGGTGACTGGGAAGACTAAGGCCACATTATGCATTCAATTATAGCAACTTCTCTTAGCCTAGATTTGTACTATTTTTCTCTCCCCTCACCACAGAGAGAGAGAGAGAGAGGTCATGTCTTCTCTTAGTCTCTTTCTGGAAGTAGATGGAAAAACACATTAAGGGCTGAGTTGATTCATTTAGCGGTCCCTTCCTGAGGGGCTCCCCAGTGCCAGGTACAGTGAGGATGAGCAAGCCCTGCTCTCAGTTCAATAGTGAACAGACAAATGCAAGGCAACCCACACCAGGTGTCCGACCCACACCAGGTGTCCAGTGTCGGGAGTGATTAGCTGCAGGTGTTGAGGAGGGAGCTATCACCGTGGCCTGGAGCAATGGCGAGGCTTCGCGAAGAGAGTAGGGTCGCTCCAGATGGGCACGTTGTGGAAATTAAGTGCTTAGAAACATGAGTGTGCTTATAGAGAGGCAGGCAGGCATGCCCGATGGCTGAGCACTGATCTTGTCCTGCATTCCTTCCTCGTTTGAGACAGGGGCTGGACATTGACGCCACCCAGCTTCAGAACCTGCTCAACCACGAACTTCTGAAAGGTACAGTCATCCCCACAGCTGGGCCAGCCCAATGTCAGCCTCACTGTCATTGCAGTCCTTGTTCTTCCCTCCTCAGGACCTCCAGGGGATGCATTCTCCTTGGATGAGTGCCGGGGCATCATAGCTCTGATGGATGTATCCTTTGCAGTTATCCCCCCAGACCCTCACCCAGCTTTAAGAGCCTATCTGCTCTTCAACCTTCCCAGGGGTCTCTTTAGAACATTAGGGAGCCCTCACTCTCAATGTGTTCTGTTCTTCCTTGACTCTAAGGTCTCACCAAAGAGCCTGAGTTTCTGCAGATGCTCCATTAACTCTTCAGAGCAACCACAGCAACAATGCCAATGGTCACCACCTAGCAAGCATCTACTGTGCACCAAGAATTGTGCTGGTGCATATATCTTCTTCCTTATAATTCTGGCAACAACCCCTGTAATAGGAGTATTACTCCATTATACAATGGAGGCAACAGTTCAGAGAAGTTAAATAATTTGCTCAAATCACACAGCTAGCCAGGATCCATGCCCAGATTTGAAGTTTTGGGTTTCTGTGTCCAAAGTCCATGATCTTACATTATTCTACGCTGCCAGTGGGAACTGTTTTTCCTTTCACCCCTCCTAGAGGAGTCCTCATTATTTAATTTCGTACTCAACAAGTCCACAGTTCAATAAAGATAACCACCACCAAAACTTACAGAAAACTCTTCAGTATATACAGCAATTTCACCCCATTGTTATTATTATGCTTATTATCCTGCGTTTGCAGATGAGGAGACTGGGGTTGGGGCAGTTTGGTGACTTGTCCAAGTTGCATGCCTACAAGCAGCAGTGCCCAGAGTCAAGGCTAGGACTCCCGACTCTGCCCTGTGCTCATTCCCCTCTCTAATGGCCTTTCTGCCTCTGCCTCCCCCTCCCACTCCCGGCTCCCACAGGCAGGGAGAGGCTGGCTTACGTTTATAAGCCTGCTGCTTCCCTCCCAGCTCCCCTGAGAGCGAGGCAGACCACCTGGCATCTCTTGTTTTGTTTTTTTAAATTTATTTTTATTTTATTTTTTTATTGTACCTTAGATGAAGTACAGAACAAATAATTTCTCATTAAACAGTTAGTACATATATTGTTCTATGACAATGGTTAAACACCCCACGACATGTCAATACTGTCCCTTCTCAACTTTGGGTTCCCTATTACGAGCTTTCCTGTCCCCTCCTGCCTTGTAGTCCTTGTCTCTGGACTGTTGTGCCCCATTATTCTCGTTTTGTTTTATGGGGCTGTCTAATCTTTGGCTGAACAGTGAACCTCAGGAGTGACTTCATTACTGAGCTAAAAGGGTGTCCAGGGGCCCTACTCTCGTGGTTTCTCCAGTCTCTGTCAGACCAGTAAGTCTGGTCTTTTTTTGTGAGTTAGAATTTTGTTTTACATTTTTCTCCAGCTCTGTCCTGGACCCTCTGTTGTGATCCCGGTCAGAGCAGTCAGTGGTGGTAGCTGGGCACCATCTAGTTGTACTGGACTCAGTCTGGTGGAGGCTGTGGTAGTTGCGGTCCATTAATCCTTTGGACTAATCTTTTCCTTGTATCTTGTTTTCTTCATTCTCCCTTGCTCCCGAAGGGATGAGACCAGTGGAGTACTTAGATGGCTGCTCACAGGCTTCTAAGACCCGAGACACTACTTACCAAGGTAGAATGTAGAACATTTTCTTTATAAACTGTGTTATGCCAATTGAGCTAGATGTTCCCCAAGACCCCACAGCCCTCTGCCCAGCAATTCAGTCCCTCAGGGAGTCTGGATGTGTCTATGGAGCTTCCATGACCTTTCCTTGTACAAGTTGTGCTGGCTTCCCCAGTATTGTGTACTGTCTTACC